TAAATTTGTATCCTGTTTTTCCCCAAAAATTGGGACTCAAAGTGGCTTACAATCTAAAAGCACAGTACTGTGCAGTTAAAAACTTACCAAAAATGACAATTAAAATGGAATTATATTGCTACAGTATCAAAACATATCATTTGTTTAAAATACAATTTAAAAAAGATAAAAGCACTTAAAAACCTTACCCAGAAAGCCCCCTTATGTTCAGCTGAAGAACATGAGAATCACTTTGTTTGGAAGGAGAAAGTCTGAGATATTAAACTAGCATTAATTTCAAATGGAAGATGAAAGTTTTCTTCCCATTCTATTTCATTTCCCCACTCTTCCACAACTTGGGATTCTTTCCTGTTAGAGAGAGGCTCTCTTTGAGTCTAGTATTTTATGCTTTACAGATACACTCTACAGATATGACAACTGCAGTAAATCAGGTTATTAGCAGAATCTGTCCTGCTGTCTCTCCCTCCCTCTTCTGCTTCTTTTCTTTTAAGAGTGCTATTATAAGTATCTTCTTCATGAAAAGGAAAAGTTGATGAGCTTGGGAACCTTGCTTGCAGAAGGAAAAACAAAGTCTAAATCAAAAGGCAGAGAGATAGATCCATTTTTTAACAGGACCACCCACTTCAAGCACAAATTATTCTTGTATGCATTGAGTCAGCTGCTTTGCCTTATAAAGAAAAAACATATATGCATTTAATCCCTTCATAAGAGAAGAGTTCTTTGGCTCCCAGGTTTTCTCCAAAAAAGTTTAAATAAGACTGCCATTTATGTGTGTGTCTGTGATCCAAAATAACATTATTTTTGCAATTGCTTTTTAATGCACAACATGCTGTATAGTGCAGGAATACCTCAGTTAATGAAACATATGTGTTCCTGGGCATTAGTTTTTTAATGAAAAATTTGGTACTAGAGTACCAAATTTGGTAACAGAAGCAGAAATACCATGGAAGGAATTGATATAAATTACCACACAAGAAAAATAAGAACAGTTGAAAATGAATCCCTATATTGAATATATGAGTCCCTATATTGGGAGAAAG